CAGAGACTATTTTTATTATTTTCACAAAACTACGCCACTGCTTCAGAACCAAAACAAAGATGGCGTCTTGAAAGAGGTGTATTAAAATCCGTACATGTACTTCAGATGCGGGCATATTTTTCTTCGGATGATTAGATAAACCTGTACGCATGAGGATAACTTCTCCATGGACCTCGTGACAGGTCTTCAGGAGTTTCTAAGGCTTGGCGGTAAAGACACCGATTAGCTATGGAAGCCGGTGTTAATGCAAAGGTAGCAGAAAGTGCAACAGTCAGCTGCAGGAAAAAATAGATTTGCACAAGTAAAACTTTTTAAGTCTCACCTGTTCACGAGTCTCTGCTGCTGTCTAACTGCGTCAACGAGGCTTAATTTTGCCGCGATACCATGCCTCCGGGGAGGAGAAGCAGAGGCGGAGGTAACGGACCAATCTAACCGCAAGTCAGCGCTGACTGACGGGAGGAGCCGCAGCGCAGTCGGCCTCTTTCTTCCTCTTGTGCGTTTTATTGGTGGCTGGCAAACAGGGAAATGGTGGATTATCGCCACCAACTGGTATGGGGTGCTGCTGTTAGCCTCTGTTAGCTCCTTCCTTTGAAGTGGATCTAACCCTGTTGGGCTGTGTAACTTTACACTTAACTATTTATCAGAGGCAAAATATGAATTTTAGGGTATTTTAGGCATAATATTAGCTGATTATGCAAGTTAGTTATGCTACTTCCTATGTGTAACACATAAACACTTTCACAAATTTTAAAACGTATTTTCATTGTTATCAGTTGGAAAATGTATTTTTTGCATAAACATACTTTATTAAGTACTACTCTTTTAATTAAACTTGGCTTGATAGGAGTTTTGAAATACTCACTTCTGTGCATATAAATTCACAGAGTTCAGACTGTACGTCAGAACAAAAACAAACAAAAAAAGACTTTTAGAAAATTTAGAGTGTTTATTTTTTAAGCATTTTTAGATAATGTACATGTCATTTATTCATATCACATTTAAAAAGTCCAAAACAATTTCAAATAAAAAAAATTGTATGTACCGGTATATGAAAACTGTCAGCATAAAACAAAAGTCTAACTAACTACATACAGTGAGGATATAGTAACTGTTTTATATGATTCTAGCATAAGCTAGACAACACCATCCTAAATCTTATATGGGACAATGTTCTTTAGTATAAACATAGAATCTAAAACTAAAAAATTAAAATAAAACAATGTTGTGGATCTGATATGGTTTTCAGTGGCAGTAGTTTCAAACTATTTGTGTAAAAAGTTTTACATTCGTCATCCTTTAAATGTTACATAATTTGTGACAACATATCTGATAAATCTGTACATATTAATCAAACTAAATGACTTGATTTGACACACACACACACACACACACACACACACACACACACACACACACACACACACACACACACACACACACACACAAGGTCTGTGTACAGTTATTAAATGCAGGTGATTTTCTTTATGTGGCTGCCAAACGTTTGTTTATGCTGCAAACCCCCTGACCAACTGTCACCGGTTAGTTGTAAGAATCTTGATTAATCCTAAAACAAAATTTTTCAGTGGTTAATTCAGATATTAGGTGGGTTTTTGAGGTGAAAAGAAAAGATAAATTAACCCAGGGTTTCAGTTTGTTTGAGTTAGCAGTACATTTCATCAAGACTTTTAATGGCTTCCTCTTTAGAGATTTTTTTCCAGTCATCAGGAATCTCTCCTCTGCCCTGGAATTTTAGGTTATAGTGCTCTTCCAATGTGTTTTGAAATCGGCACACAAACCATTTCCAGTACGATAGTCTCGATCCATCGGGAGTGATTCTCCATGTGGCATACTTTGAGCCAGCAGTTCTGTATTGTTTATAAGGAATGCTTTCCTCTGAATCATGATGAGGGTAAAACCTGCCTTCGCTCGAAACGTTTGTTGTGCAGAAAGTGATGCACAACTCCACTGTGCCTTTGTAGTGCCATCCTTGGATCCCATTAGGTCGATGGAAAGGGACGCTGTGGTCATCGGGACTGTGATCGTCAATAGTGTTGATACAAACAGCAGAACAGAATGGACACTTTACCCAGCAACGCTTACACAGCTGATCTGTGAGGATTTCATCCGGCTTCAGTCTGGATTCCTTCAAGTTTTCCAGTGACATGGTGCTCATCTGCACAATGATGGCAGCAAATCCTTTCTCTATCTCTCCCTTCAGAACGTTAAAATCATTTATGTCACTGAAGTTTTGAGAACAAATGGGATCCAGAGTAAGCTTATCATTTAGCGCACTGGAAAACTCCTTCAGCCACCTGTCTGCCTCTCCTCCCTGAGTTTGGACTTTATGTGTTGCAGTAAATAAAGCTTGACTAACAAGCTAAGATGATCTCACAGCCTTGGCCAGCCGCTTGAGGAGGTACACCAGAGAGATAGAAGGCAGGAGAATAAACCAGCTGTTCTCCACAGAACCAGCAAAGGTGTACTCTCAGTGGCAAGGGAACAATAAGAGAACAGCACCACCAAGGCTGGAGACGGAGCAATACTGGAAGAGCATATGGGAGAAGGACGCAACCCATAACGGCAATGCTCAGTGGCTAGTGGATCTGAGGGCAGACCACAGCGACCTCCCTGAACAGGGTCCAGTAACCATCACAGTGGCAGATATCCAAGAAAGGGTCTCCAGTATGAAGAGTTGGACAGCACCAGGGCCCGACATGGTTCACGCCTACTGGCTAAAGAAGCTGACTGCACTCCACGAGCGTCTGGCAGCACAAATGAACCAGCTGCTAGTTAACGAGAGACACCCGGAATGGCTAACCGAAGGTCGGACGGTCCTGATCCCCAAGGACCCCAAGAAGGGACCGGTCCCCTCCAACTACCGACCAATAACCTGCCTCAGTACTACATGGAAGCTCCTGTCAGGCATCATATCGGCTAAGATGAACAGGCACATGGGTCAATACATGAGTGGGACACAGAAAGGAATTGGCAAGAATACCAGAGCGCAAAACACCACTACTGGTAGACAGAACAGTCAGCCGAGACTGCAAGACCAGACTGACCAACCTGTGCACTGCCTGGATTGATTACAAGAAGGCCTATGACTCAATGCCCCACAGCTGGATACTGGAATGCCTAGAATTGTACAAGATCAATGGGACCCTAAGAGCCTTCATCAGGAACTCAATGGGGATGTGGCGTACAACACTAGAGGCCAACTCCAAGCCCATAGCACAAGTCACCATCAAGTGCGGGATCTACCAAGGAGATGCTCTGTCCCCACTGCTGTTCTGCATAGGCCTGAACCCCCTCAGTGAGATCATTAACAAGACTGGCTACGGATACCGACTACGGAACGGAGCAGTTGTCAGCCACCTCCTGTACATGGATGACATCAAGCTGTATGCCAAGAGTGAACGAGACATCGATTCACTGATCCACACTACCAGGCTATACAGCAATGACATTGGAATGTCGTTCGGACTGGAGAAGTGTAGTCGGATGGTAACAAAGAGAGGAAGGTAGTCAGAACTGAGGGGATTGAACTACCAGAAGGCAACATTGCAGACATAGAGGACAGTTACAAGTACCTGGGGATCCCGCAGGCAAATGGGAACCATGAAGAGGCCGCTAGAAAGGCTGCAACCACCAAGTACCTGCAGAGGGTCAGGCAAGTCCTGAGGAGTCAGCTGAATGGTAAGAACAAGATCCGGGCCATCAACACGTACGCCCTGCCCGTGATCAGGTACCCTGCTGGGGTAATAGGCTGGCCAAAGGAGGAGATAGAAGCCACTGACATAAAGACAAGAAAGCTCCTTACCATGCATGGAGGGTTTCACCCCAAGTCCAGCACCCTGAGGCTGTACGCTAAGCGGAAGGAAGGGGGCCGGGGACTGGTGAGTGTCAGCACCACAGTCCAGGATGAGACAACGAACATCCAAGAATACATTGGGAAGATGGCCCCAACTGACCGAGTGCTCAGTGAATACCTCAGGCAGCAGAAACCCAAGAAAGAGGAGGGAGACGAGGAACCATCATGGAAGGACAGGCCCCTGCACGGTATGTACCACCGGCAGATAGAGGAGGTGGCTGATATCCAGAAATCCTACCAGTGGCTGGACAAAGCTGGACTGAAAGACAGCACAGAGGCACTAATCATGGCAGCACAACAAGATCCATAGAGGCTGGGGTCTATCACACCAGGCAAGACCCCAGGTGCAGGCTGTGTAAAGATGCCCCAGAGACAATCCAGCACATAACAGCAGGGTGCAAGATGCTAGCAGGCAAGGCATACATGGAACGCCACAACCAAGTGGCCGGCATAGTGTACAGGAACATCTGTGCCGAGTATAACCTGGAAGTCCCGAGGTCAAAATGGGAGATGCCCCCAAGGGTGGTGGAGAATGACCGAGCTAAGATCCTGTGGGACTTCCAGATACAGACGGACAAAATGGTGGTGGCTAACCAACCGGACATAGTGGTGGTAGACAAACAGAAGAAGACGGCCGTAGTGATCGATGTAGCGGTTCCCAATGACAGCAATATCAGGAAGAAGGAACACGAGAAGCTGGAGAAATACCAAGGGCTCAGAGAAGAGCTCGAGAGGATGTGGAGGGTGAAGGTAACGGTGGTCCCCGTGGTAATCGGAGCACTAGGTGCGGTGACTCCCAAGCTAGGCGAGTGGCTCCAGCAGATCCCGGGAATAACATCGGAGATCTCTGTCCAGAAGAGCGCAGTCCTGGGAACAGCTAAGATACTGCGCAGGACCCTCAAGCTCCCAGGCCTCTGGTAGAGGACCCGAGCTTGAAGGATAAACCGCCCGCAGGGGCGTGCTGGGTGTTTTATATATTATATATAATATAACATATATATATATATACAGGCAATAAATATATTATAAATATATATGGTTTGTTTGAATATGTATATGTATGTATGTATATGTATGTATGTATGTATATGTATATATATATAAATATATATAATAATATTGTATATGTATATGTTTTGCTATTGTGTATTATCAAAGTTCAAATAAAAAATATTACCCTTCTTATTGGCTTCAGATGTCGCTTGAATCTTGATTATAGAGTTTTCTGCTGGTGCTGCAGTGTCATTACTCTTTGACTGTATGTCTTCATTCATAGTGTAGCTCTGAAAAACAGATATTTTAACTTAGCGTGCAGGTAGAGCCACCGACCTTTATAACAAAATGATGACAAGCTCTTGATTTTTTGTGAAATCAAGGTCTTTCTCGCTCTCAAATGACAGTGTTAACCACTCGATAACTGAAAACTTAATTTATCTCATCATATTCTTGTTATTTAACCTCAGCTGTTATGGCTAGAAATTACTTTCTTCACAAATAAAATTTTAAGCATTAGAGAATAAAACATATTGATAAACATCTCACACATGTATCGTAACTTGTTGCTCCCTGTCAGTATTCAACAAAGACTGAACCAAAATGAAGCAGTTTGTGAAAAACTACGTAAGAGAAACCAGTCCACCCCAGGATTAAGTAAACTGCAGAACCACTTTTAGCAGCAATAACTTGAAGTGATCACTCTTTCACATCGTTGCTTCAATTCTTTGAGATTTGTGGTAGTTTATTTTTGCACAGCTCTCTTAAACTCCCACCACAGAATATCAGTTGGGTTGAGGTCTGGTCTTTCACTGGACAATTTCAACACATTTGTTCTTTTCTTTTTCAGCCTTTCTGTTGTAAATTTGTTGTGTGACATTTAGTTCAAAATATCTTTTGACTTCTTTAGTATACAGACTTCCTGGATGACTCAGCGACTGTAAGGTTTTCTGTGGATGCAAAATCATCACGTCTCAACCACAGTGCAGACAGTTGGTTTGAGGTGTTTGCGGTGATATGCTGAGTTTGGTTTTATGCATTATGGGAAAACATCTCCACTCTGTTCTCATCTGTCCGAAGTGCATTGTTCCAGATATATTTTGTGGTTTGTTCATATGAAGCTTTGCAAATCTAAACTTTTTTTTAGAGAGAGAATAGAGACTTTCTCCTGCAGACCTTCCAAAGAACCTGTATTTGTTCAGCCCTTTTCTACTGACATGACGGTTAACATTTAGTATGCTAACTGGGGCATGTAGAGTCAGGAGCTCTCATGCTTTTGCAGTTTCTCTGAGCATTTTACGTCCGACATTTATGTCCACTCCTTGGAAGATTGTATTAACACACATTTCCCACACTGCTCCAGATCTGCACATTGCCAAAACTTGGTCACAGTTGATGACGATGGTGTACTTAGTTTTTAACACACTGCTACTGCAGTTTGGCTTTTTTTTCCTGTTAAATAAATGATGACATTGTGTAGTCTGTCATGTTTTGTTGTGCACCTGAGGTTGTGTTTCAGAACCTGGTAAGGAACAGATGATTTTATTATATTTGTAAAACAAAAAAACTGACAGTGTACTTTCTTTTCATCAGAGTAGACTGCTATAAGTAGACTTAGAGGAGCAGTTTGGTGTTCATTTTGCTATGACAGTGAACAGGGACGATACAAAGACTTCATCTTTACCTCTGTTTCAGCTGCGCTCTTCGCTGACTCCTCTCCTGCAGGGTAAGTTAACAACAGGCAGGTTAAAAGATCGAACATTGAAGAAATGCTTTATCAAGTGTCAAAATATGTTATTTTGAAGAAATGAATCTCCTTCAGTTAAATATAAAGAGTCTTAGTTGTATTTATACATTGATGTATTAATCGAGATGCTGCCCCTGTCAAAGGTGACCTCTTTACTTTCAATCCGTCCAACTGAAGGATTGGAGCCAAACGTTTTACACACTGCTAAACAGTAACAGAATGAGCAATAATCCATTAACAGAAGTTACGCTTCACAAACTACACTGTGCCTAAAATAAATAACGATGCACATATAGGTAATGTAAAATAATGTGATGTATCAAAAGACTACTGTTGTTAAGATACAAAATAGCACATAAAGTTAGCAAACAAAATTATAACTGTGTGAACAAACTGATAAATTGCCTGTTTAAATGTCACATGATCTGATTTACATCTTCTGATTGGTGGTGCTGAGGACATGGTCACTTTTCAGGACAAAGGGAAGTGACATTTTTGGGTATTTGCTAATAAACCATGTTTTGGAAGAAGGTCAGTGTCTAGAAGTGAACCAGCTCAGTTATTGTGCACACTGACAGCTTTTACATGATATCGCTCATTTTGAATGACGTTTAGACACTTTTGGATCTGAACTGTTGAATCTGTTGGATTTGTAAGACTGTTTAGTTCTTTGCAAATGAGCAAAGCATAAAATAGTTATTTCCCTCAATGCATGTTACTGTAGAAGTAAAGTTTTCATTGTTACCCTTCTCAATGTTTAAAGGTTGTGATGGAGTCCAGGTTTCAGATTCTCCTCCTCCTGTTGCGGTGTCTTCTCTTTTCTCTGACTGATCTTCATTTTCATCTTCTGGCTCAGTCTGAGTAAAGAAGTCACTTGTATGACTTTATTTGCTGGCTGCGATGTCTGAGATTCAAACTGTACATGTGATTTGGCTCTGTATAAATAAAACTGAATCGAATTGAACTTGTCATTATGTTCAGAACACAGACGTTGTCCTTTAATGATGAACAAACATTAAAGGGTAAAACATTACCTTTCCTCTGACTTCACGTGTGATCTCCACTTTTTCTTCTACTGCAAGAGGACATAGAAAAGATGATTGTGCAGTCAAGGCAACTGTTCTTTGTTCATGTTATTTGCATATTGTCCATGGTAAATGGGGTTGTACGCCGTCTTAGTGAGTGGACATGGATCAATACTCAGTACTGAGTTTTATATTGGTTCAACAAACCGAGAAGATTTTCTGACCACACTGATAACAATGTGTGGAAGGCAGTAATTAGCAGTGTTGGGACTAACGCGTTATTAAGTAACGCGTTACAGTAACTACGTTATTATTGTGGTAACGAGCACGGTAACTAGTTATTATGCCAAAACCGGGAACGCGTTACTCGTTACTGGGATTTAGATAGGCTCGTTACTCGTTACTTCGTGTGGTGGCTATCGCGGAGCTTCCACAGATTCAATAACATTAGCAAGTGGTGGAGGCAGCAGGTGGATGAAGGAAAAGGGAGGCAAGAGGAGAGACCCGAAGCGGCCGCCGGTCCGAGTGTCAGGTGAACTGAACTTCAGGTAAGAAGTTATGACCTGCAGTCTCTCTGGGTCAAATATGAACCAAGTTTAGGTGGAGTTTATTTTCGTTATTCTGACTTTTTCCGTACTGCGTGCTAGCTAGCATGACGGAGTTTCTATACAGCTGGGTGGGTGCTATGAAGTTAATGATGTTGAACTTTATTTTGTTCATAAGTTATTAGAGTTGCCAACCGTCCCGTCTGGTATTCAGAGAAAATATTACGCGTTTCTTATTGAGGTGAAAGGGAACAGTTTGTCCCGTAATTCAGCTACAATGAAAAAGGCACAAAGCTGGAGTTATTCTGTGTTTACGCTGCACAGCTGTCTCTTCTCTCATTCTCTCCCCTCTCTCTCCTGTTTCTACTTCAATCATGAAACTGATCAATGATCAGCTGATCGGCTTTTCTCTCTTGTTTGTGTATCGCTCACTTTGCGCCAGAAAGAGGAAACCAGCGGATGTCGCGCTAAACAACAGCAGCACGTTTAAGCTTGATCAGCTGTTGTTAGAATTTATTTAATATTAATTTCTAGTATCAGCTGATGTTTGCTGGAGCCACAGCTGTAAAGCTGCTGGTCATGATATGATTTGGTTATCTGGTGAAAGGGAAACATGAAGATGAAACCAGGAGATGTCCTTACTGAATCATCAGAGCTGTGATGGAGAAACAGGTTTACCTTTTAGGTGACATGAATGAGTTGAAGAGAAGTTATGAACTGTTTCTGAGAGACAAATAACCCCAGGATCCTTTTCTAAGTAGCTGACAGCTGGTAACTGTGCAGGGGCGGGTCTAGCAAAGTGTTGCCAGGGGGCAGGGAGGGCATTAACAGGGAGAGGGGGGGCACAAGGAAATACTTTCTTATTCTCATTTAAAATGTCTCACTTTTAAAAAAATAATTATCTGAGTCTTTATTATCTGAGGCAACAAACAATTGATAGATTGATACATATATACCATCAGAACAGTGTACATCACTGTCACAACAGTGTTTATTTTCATTCAAAGGCTTTATGATTTTTCCTATAATGGTGGGCCGGTCTCTAGTCAAAATGCCCGGGCCAATTTTTTTGTCCCAGTCCAGCCCTGTATGCAGCTCATCTGCAGTCTGCTGTTACCTACATCTTCCTATTCAGAAGGCAGAATTTCTGAGTTCTGAGTACAATCAAAGCACCACGACTGCAGTTTTTGTGTTGGATGTAAAAAGCAGGCTAGGATAGAATCAGGCGGGGGATTTCTCTCGTGGAAATGTGCACATTATTTTTTCCTTTCTATTGGTAGGTGGCACAGTGCACTTGTGGCAAGTAAGCAAGCTAGAAGACTGGCAGTCTGGCTGGGTATCCAGTTACGGAAGCAACACATTAACAAGAGAATTCTGAGAAAAACCAAAGTTACTTTCCCTAGTAACTAGTTACTCTGAAAGTAACGAGTAACTTGAAATAACGGAGTTACTTTTGATAGAAGTAACTAGTAATGTAACTAAGTTACTATTTTAAAGTAACTTACCCAACACTGGTAATTAGTATGCTGACTCTGAGGTAAATTATTTTGCTGCTTGCAAAAGATATTTGACTTTGTTGTTGCTGTTGCTTTAGTGTAAAGCGTAGTGTAAAAACATCGGATTTCATACAGAAATATAACTTTAATTAATGTTTACACATATGTCTCTGTGCTGAGCTTCATGTCTCTTCATAATCATGACAGAGGAAGACATTTTTTCCATTTTTCTGCTGTATGTACGAGTTGTTTTGGGACATGCATTTTTAGAGATCAGAGCTTGAAATATGTACTGAGAATTGTCCAAGAGCAGCCAACAAAAACACTTAAAAGTACTGAAGGAACAGTAAGTAGAGATTACACATTTGATATCTGTAGAAACACAGATTGGACCAAGCTGGACCCCTGTCCTTCAGAGCTTCTCTCCTCTGCACACTTTTGTGTTTAATAAGATTAATAATTCTTCTTCGTGTTTAAACTCCAATGTCCAACAAACAACTCCAAAAAATTATATTTTAAAATGCTCGGTCAGGCTGTCGTGATCAGATTACCTCTGTTATTGGTGGAAGATGGTGCAGATGCATTTTCAGTTTCACTTCCTGTGCTTGTAACGTTCAGCTCTAGGTGCTGAGCTTCACCAGTTTTATTCAATAAAGGCTGAGAAAACAGGTAATAAATAACAGGTTAGATCTGAGATAAAATGTTGAAGTGTTTGACTGTAAGGATGTACACAGAAATGCAATTATTTGCAAATCCCATAAACTGATATTTTATTCCTAATAGACCACACAAAAAATAACTGATGTTTAAACTGAGGCATTTTAGTATTTCACTAAAAAATACAGGCTCATTTTGAATTTGATGGCAGCAACATGTTTCAGAAAGTAAGTACTTTTGTAGTAGTTACTAAAGACAAACAGCTGGAAGGACATTTGCAGCTAATTTGGTTGACAGGTCAGCAACATGAGCAGAGCATTTTAGGGTTTGTGGCAAGTAAGGATAGGCAGAGGTTAATAAATCTGCAAAGGAACTGGGCATTGTGGATAACAACAATTGCATGTCATTGGTTTTTGTAGATTTAAGCAAAATGTATCTTATGGACATGCTTGTATTGTATATCTTGAAATGTAACTCTTAGAAAATGAATATGTGTGACAGCTGTACGATTAAATGTGAGAATATATATAGATATATAGATATATAGATATAGCAGCTGGATAGCGTAGTGGTTAGACTACACGCCTTTGGA